GGCGACCAAAAAATCGAATTCGTAAGACTTCAAGACGCGGGGGGGCTATATTTACAGGTCGAGGTTGAACATTAATCAAGCCAGACCAAAGTTGACCGTTGACTCGAATGTCTCGTCTTGCGAGTAAATCACGGTCAATCGACTGCTCTCAGGAAGTAAAAACGCACAGCAGTCATCAGCTGTACACCTAATTTATCCAAAGAAAGCGGATGGTTCGCTGTATTTTTCGTCAATCGAACGCAAAATTCGCTCTCACTTGAAGTCGACGGGGTGAAAATTTCAGTGAATTAATCCCTTCTCATCCCGCGTTAACGAGATTACAAGGAGAGAGACCCATTAACCATGTTAAAAAAATGCTTTCTGGTAGTAAAAATGCAGAGTAGTTTTTTTGTTTTGTTTTTTTTGTTTTCAGCTCTACCGCAATATATCTGGAGAAAGGATGGTACGCGGTACTTTTCATCCTTTCCGAACTCAAAATTCATTCTCAATGGAAGCCGACAGGGTGGAATTTTCGGTGAATTGATTCCTTCCCACGCCGAGTTAGCGAAAATACAAGCAGAAAGACCCATTAACCGTGATAAAAAATGCTTTCAGGAAGTAAAAATGTATGGTAGTCATCAGCTCTACGCCTAATTTATCTAAAGAAAGCGGACGGTTCGCTGTATTTTTCGTCAATCGAACGCAAAATTTGTTCTCGCTGGAAGTCGACAGGGTGAAAATTGCAGTGAATTAATCCCTTCGCATTCCGCATTAAGGAGAATAATAGAGAGAGTCATCAACCGTGATAAAAAATGTTTTCAGAAAGTAAAAATGTAGAACAGTTTTATTCAGCTCTGCGCGCAATACCTCCGATGAAAGAGGGTTCGCTGTACTTCTCGTCCATCGGACACAAAATTCATTCTCTTTGGAAGTCGACGGGGTGAAATTTTCAGTGGATTAATTCCTTGCCGTCCCGCATTGACGAAAGTACAAAGGGAAAGAAGCGCGAGTTCGAACAAATTGTTTTTAATGTAAAATGTAAACAAGGATTCACCCACGTTCAAAAATGAAACAGAAGTAGCTCTTAATTGGCAATTCATGTTTTTTTATCTTTTAGTTTTTATTTTCGTTTTGTTTTTCTCTTTTTTTCTAGCTCTTCAAGCTCGTTCATATATGATCAAACACAACCCCAGGACTCACCAATGTTGCATGTGGCCTTAGACAACCAGCCATCCAGAAGCAGGGATGTGGCACCGGTCATTGTTGCACCGCATTTCCCATCTGGCCTGGCAGTATCGTTGGAAGAAAGAATGCAGTTCAACTTCAATCTGTTCCTGTATGACAGCTTGCGTTTGCCCGCAGGGCTTTTTCCTGACGACCAAACAGGAGAAGTGGTATTTAAAGACCTTCAGACATGTAGAAATTATTGTTCACGCTACGTACAGAGTAGAGAGGAATGGTGCAGTTGACAGCAGCAGGAGTCAGACCACTCACAAGAAAGAAGAAATGAACTGTCTAAGGAGGATATGTTTCTAACCACGGGAGAAGCCTTGGATAGGAGTCTGAAATGTGGTAACGAGGCATTCGACCGCAACTTGAATTTGGTATGTCTTTACCTCTTTGGGAACGTCATGATCTTGAATGCCCCCCACTGGAGCGATGTCTCTGCAGTTTACACATGGTTTCCCTCGTCGTCTCATGGACAGCCATCGTGGAATCTTGCCTAGCAATATCACTGTGGCAGCACGCATTTCAAACCAGGGAATTCGAAGCGTGTCTCCAGGTAATTTGAAAACATTTTTTAACAATTTTTTTTCTTTAAAAAACAAACAAACAAACAAAAACAGTATTAGTAGTATTCCATTGTGAGGTCAAAATGATAACTCTGCTAGCACCAAAGAAAATTCAAACTTGGGACAGTTTTGGAAGACTATTCTCAGATTCCTCGGTAATTCACCTCACTTATTACATCTTGTGTTTTCAATGCAGTTCCTCTGATTACCTTTGATACAAAGTGATTTGTTCTTGTGAAAGGCTAGTGCTCAGGAAATGCAATTGACATTGACTCTCTCACAGGTGACGTAGCTGCTTTCATGTCAAAAAAAATGATACGAGGTTTGGGACTGACCGTTACAGAACTGATGCTCGCGCGAACGACAGCAATCAGATATGCGGGAAAGAGAGACAAGCCCGCACGTCTCGTGGAAATGATGGTTCGCTTTGGAGTCGACTTCCTGACCATGATGCCCCTGGAAGCGGAACAGACAAAGGTGCTCAGACTGGCCAGTTCTTCTTACTGGGATCTCATGATAGCTTCTGCTCCAGACGACGGGGAGGACAGCAGTTCGGATGAGTCAGAGCTCTCCGTCGGGTGGGATGCTGGAGACCAGACGGATCCACTTCCCACCCAAGGAACCCCAGAATACACTGAAACCGTGACCAGGCACAGAAAATCTGCTGCAGTGCTACGTGTCTGTGCAGAGAACAACTCAGGTAGGGTCTCTCCTGTGATTAAGAGCGAGTCAGTCAGTCAGTCAGTCAGTCAGTCAGTCAGTACATAAGCTTAGAACCCATTATTCCAAATAACCATAATACACGCATTTAAAGATCCTCTTCATCAGCCAGGCCTTGTTTTAGATGACCAACTAGATATATCTCACCCTTTTATAACAGGCACTGCAAGTCACAGCTGCGGAAGCAACACTAACACGAAGACCCAGTTGCAGCTCTGGGATGGTCAGACGAAGAAAGCAGACAACTCCCAGACGTGCCAGAGCATCCCAGGTGTCCGCAGAAGCGCCAGCAGCTGACGATCAAAGATCGAGGGATGAAGAAGCACGGTAGGAAGCACCACCCGACCCCAGGGAGCGTCTGCTGGCACTACCAGGAATCATAGCAACACCCCTACCCAACAGAGAGTCTTTGGACAGGCTTCAAAAGTTCCTGCAGGAAAATCAACCTTGCAACCCACAACAGGTGAACTGCAATTTAAAAAATAAAGAACTGCACATTGATTGACAAAATGATTTGATAGGTGCTAACTTCAAAAATATTAGATTGGCATTTGCTGGTGGCATACACAATTTTTCACTTGCAGCCTATTTCCTCCGAGAGCAAGTCATCTTGAGATGTATTTATAACAGGTCACAGTTAAAGTTGGGTCCAAATTTTTCTTACCTAGGCTGATTTTGGATTTCTTCTTATTATTACTATGATGATTATATTTTTTGTTTTGTTTTTTTTTAATTTTTTCTTTTCATAGTCCTAATGGGGAATGAGATTAGTGATCTTGAAATTTCCCATTCTGAATAGTTGGGGCCAGGAGACAGGAAATTGAGAATCGATCTTTGTCAAGAACTTTTAACCCAAATTTAATTTTGACCTGTTAGAGAGGCAAGGGGAAATTGAGAATGAACCAATGGTGGGTTAAAAAATTTTCACCTGATTTTAATTTTTTAATTTTCACTACTTGCACGAAGCATGCTTTATTATTATTTTTTTTTTTCTTGTACTTTATTGATGCAAAGCGCCCAATGGAAATAGGAGGATTGGAGACTTCTAAGTGCTTTACAGGCGGGTAGATGCACTCAAAGTACTAAGTACTCTAAGTGCATTTACCCGACTGTAAAGTATGCTGTAAAGTGATCTTGAAATTCCCCATTCTGAAGAGTTTGCATTGCGTACTCCAACAGTTTAAAATTCATCAAAATTGATTCAATGCAACACAGCAGGTAAACATTAACAATAACTTTGTGAGGTCAGTGGAGGTACCTATCTCACCTGTTGCCTTTTTTTTTCTCTCCCTAGGTAGAACAACCGGCCAGATCTTCAGACACACAGGCTTTACAGCAGGCTAGACGAGCTGCAGCTCTCGGGGTCTACACAGAGGAACGTACCGGAATAGTGCGGCAGAGAGTCTGCGATGTCTGGACAACTACTGGGGCCGACTGCACTTACTTGGGAGAGCCGGTCGCAAGAGACTCCTAGGACAAAGGGGATCAGAACTGCCGTACTGCCTGCCAGGTGGTTTCGGTCAATTTTATAACAAGATGATCGATGTGAAAGTCTCTCTCAAACTGTTGATAAATATTCAA